GCAATCGAACCTCGTTCCGTTGTAAACTCTCAAGCCACTAATCCAGGAGACCATGATAGCTCTGGAAAGGACGTTGCTGTGGCCATCAATGCAGCAGCCCAGTTACAAGATCACAGGTCAAGTTAGCCGCGTACTCTAAACACTCTAATGTGGATTAATGGATTGGATGTGGTTGTATATCTCATCAAGCAGGGCAGATGAGCTTCAATAAAATGGAAAGAACCGAAATAAAGTCAATAGTATTTCAGATGTATGTCAATATCATATTTCTACGAGAAACGCAAGAATGTCTAAATGCGCCACAAGCGTCATTACAGAAGCGATGGTCTTGTACCAGGTAAATATTTACAGAGACACGAAAGGTTAACACCCACTGATCATATAAACTTGAATACATCATACATATGTTTGTTTCAACCATCACGTTAAAGTTCTAAAGACGTCACACTATACCACTCTGCCACTCATAGACCGGTGTCGCCACAGAACGAAGTACATGCATGCGTTCAATTCCATTCACTAACTACTGCGTTTACCAGCAGGTATTGCAATATAGGCATAAAGGTACTGTGGTTATATCCTGAGGTATTGCAGTTATACCATACGGTATTGTAGTTCTACGACGACGTCTCGTAGTCATGCTACAATGTATTGCAGTTGTTCCATGAGATACTCTTGTTATACGATAAGAATTTATATGTTCGTGCCATCGGTTGTTAACATTGCTTTTTCACTATTACATATTGTTTATTTGGATTAAATTAGCAATCGGTTGTGTCTGCTATTTTACCACAAACGTATATCAAAATCATTGTTTTCACCATGGTACCAGTAGTGCAAGTACGTTTGGCAATCATATTAATGATTGCATCAACAACACAAAAGTAAGTAGTAAAACGTCACAAAGAGAACCACAATACCTTCAAACCTCTGAATTTGGAAGTGTATGCTTTAAAGATTTAAACCTCCACTTGGTAAGTAACAGCGCAATTGAATTTCCATAGGCCGTATAGAATCTCCAAATCTAGTATACAACCCATGCAAACAGCTCCATACTAAGTATAGCAATGACTAAAAGGCCGACTGGCGGGCGTCCTGGTAGATTCTGAGTCGAGTATACAGTGCCATATAAACAATGTCAAGTTATTTGTCAAGGTCCTAGAGAAAATACTGTATCGTCAGGGGTCATTCCTTTTGGCTGGCGGTATTTGAAGCCAGTTCAAGTAAAACAAGTGTTTGCCACTATGACAATGTCCCCCGCCGCTTATGAAATATTTCTAACATATTTACTACTTTTAATTTTTGTCACTTGGTCACATACAAGATGCCTGAAATGACTGGTGTCTGCATAATCACCTAATGTAGGCTGTCGACACAATTGAAGACATTAGGTGCAATGTTTTATGAGATATTGCGTTTACATAAGTTTGAAAAGTGGTCAAAGTGTCGTGGTGACCTTAACGATAAGGTCAAGATCACCCAAGTCAACTGGTTTCTGCGTAATCCCCAAATGTAGGATGTCAGCAAATATGAAGACATAGGGTACAATAGTTCATGAGATACCGCGTTAGCAAGAATCGGACGTACGTACGGATGGATGGACGCTGCTGAATACATAGTCCCCCGTTTCGCGATGCGGTGGGTGACAATTTCATTTCACTTTGCTCTTCGACGTAACCAGGATTATCAAAAACAACTTAGAAGTCGTTGCAGGCTTATCACGTTCACTTATGCCGCTATTGGTTGAATATACTGAACGTCTTCTCAATGTCTGTGATGATTAGTTTTGGATGAAGTGCTTCAAACTGAATTCGTTTCCTGCTGGGGTGAATTTGCAGACATTTCATCAAGACCTGTATGTGTTCAAGTATCCTTCGCTTGTATGAAGACCGCAACTGCTGCTCAACACACATTTTGACAATGCACCTGAAGAAGGAGAAGGTGTAATTGTACAATTTTAGTATATTTACATTTTGAAACACCAGTATAATAGTATTATAGATGATGGGTTATAATATCCACAGAATCAAACATTCAATGATCGTCACCAATTGTATACACTAGAGGTGGTCCGATTAATTGAAATAATCGAAGATTGGTCGCAGTGACTAAACGACCAAGCAATCGATCATTTTTTCACATAATCGAACACAAACAATTCTAGTACACTTGTTTTCATTAATACTATTTTTCACTAGGTTGGTTTTGTCTTTTACATTTCATAAGCACTACAAGCTCGTTCCAAGTCATGATAGAATATATCTTAAAGACTCTAAGAAAATTGTATTCCTCCATACTAGTCATCCTATAAAGATGTGAAATTTTGCCCCCAAAACACCAAAGAGCTACGTTTTTTTCCTTATTTTTTTGTGTGCACTAACACATTTCATAAATGACGCTCACCAATTATTTTCGATGATTGATCGGTTGTAATGAACCAATCATCAATTATGAGATTTTAACCAATTCCCAACACTAGTATACACATATTCTGTTCTTGGATACTGAGAACGAACAACCACAAAATTGAACCAATTTCCACAAAATCACAGGGAGAAACGCAGATAATATACTTCCACACCTTCAAACAATAGGTAGGATAGGTGCAGCATAAAACAGATACAGTGATTTCTTCTTCACCGGCGAGATGGAAAACAGCGTGTTTAGCGTCGGAGAAATGAACGTTTTGCCCATATTTGCACTCGACAGGTCGACAGAATCGGTGGGGTAAGTGTCATGGTGTGGGGCGAGATATCAAACACACAAAGATCTGATTTAGGGGTGGTTCAATGTCTTGCCATTGCCTTCCCGATCACCAGATCTAAACCCGATAGAACACGGATGATCTCAATCGACGTGTACGTCAACGTCAAAACACGCCTCTGACACTTCCACAACTGACCATCGAATTGCAGGAAGAGTGGGGAGGAATTTGGCAAGAGTGACTTCGTCGACTTATCCAGTAATTGCTGCCAATGGCTGTCATACAATGTACTGACTTTGACGCCATCTTGTGGACTCAGGTAAACAGAAACACAACACTAAAGGCTACTGTGGTGTTGATGAACTCTTTGTCTATAGAGTATGTATTTTCACCCTGTCATCATTGACATTACATGCAATAATTGCTCTTAAACTAGCGAAATAAATTCTTCTAAAAATGGCTTATGCGTTTCTTCGTTCGGAGAGTTTATCTTTATTGTTAGAAACATTAACGCCATCGGATTACACGCGAATATTTATTTCGTTATGTTGGTTAATGTCAAATATGATTACTCTGTTACACACTTCAGTGCGACATGTGTTATGTCTATTGTACCAGCTGGTTGATTTCTTTCTTACTACCCTGGACGTACACCTGCGTCAAAGTCATCGTGTTAGACGTGGTGAAAGACGATTGGCTCTTTTCTTCGGTGTGTGATATGGATTCAACGCTTACGGGTCATGTTTGTGTATACATATAAAAGCCTCAAATTAAATGTCGAGAGCATCCATTAAGAGTTTAAAATATTCTTTGAAAAAGTGGGGAAAATGCATTTTTAATTTACGATTGAAAAAAATGGGAGATATATTGGAGGTTTATCAATGTTGATATGATAATAATGCATGTACGATTTTCACTCAGTAGTGTGTGATTCCACCACGAGGGGTCAGGCATTTATTCAGACGACGAGGCATACTGAGTCTTCCAAGGACCGATTTGGGGAGTCTGTTCCATTCTTCCTGAAGCGGCTAGATTCATCCAGCGTAGTCGGCGGTCCTTGACGTTGATGCACATGTCTACCTATCATGTTCCAGGCGTGTTCGATGGGGAAGATCAGGGCTCATTGCCGGCTATGAGTGAGTGAGTTTAGATTTATCGTCACATCGGCAATATTTCAGCCATATCGTGACGAGAACATTTTATAATTATCATTGCTGGCTATGGAAAACGATAGATGTTGTGTTGACGGAGGTGGTTATTGACGATGCGTGAACGGTGAGCACGGGCTTTGTCACCCTTAAAGACGAAATGACGACCGACATGCCTAGCAAATTTGATAACAAAGGGTGTCAGTACGTTGTCCCGGTGACCCTTCCTTTGCACAACATGAAGAGGGATTCGGTCAGTCATATTGACACCACCCCATACCATAAGTGACCCATCTCCAAATAGATCGTGTGGTCTCACGTTGACGTTGGCGTGGTGTTCACGTTCATTTCCTCGTCGCCAGACCCGACCAAGTCTGTCAAGGAAGTCCAAAGTGAAAACATGACACGTCACCAACGACAAGTCCTCCGGTGTGTACGTGCCTTACACCACTCCCACCTTACAGCCATGTGACGGGTGGCACATTGAGCTGCATGGGGGCAGTTCCTAATCGCCTGACCCGTAACTCGAACACCAGTTGTCTGATACAGATTTGCTGCAATTTGATTGGTCGTTACAGCTCGATTTCGTAAAGCCTGGTTCCTAGGGAAACGATTCTGTACTCTTGTTGTTGACCTTGGACGAACTGAACGTGGTCAATCGTCAACATTTTGGGTTTACTGATATCAGTTCCACAGCGCTAATGGCTGACTTCGAAACATTGAAGGGGCGATGGGGTAGCCTAGTTGTTAAAGCGTTGGTTCGTCACGCCGAAGACCCGGGTTCGAATCTCCACTTGGGTACAATGTGTGAGGCCCATTTCTGGTGTCCCCCGCCGTGATGTTGCTGGAATATTGCTAAAAGCGTCGTAAAACCAAACTCAGTCAGTCAGTCAGTCGAAACATTGAAGGTATTGGTCACTTCACACAGGGTAGCGCCTGTTTGCAACATGCCAATTGCACGTAAACGTCCATCACGTTGCATACCACGCATTGCAAATTTAAACAACACCAAAAACCAAAAACGACTGGAAACAAACACTAACAACAGACGCAAGACAAAGTTAAGAGTCTATGTGAGTGAGTGAGTGAGTGAGTTAAGATTTAAAGTCACATCGGCAATATTTCAGCCATATCGTGACTAAAACTAGTTCTAAATTTGTAATACAGACATATAATATATAAAACCCTGTCAACGAAGGACAGTAAAAATACTAGATAATCACAGCTATCAATATAAAACTAGCGAACAAAGCTAAAACATTCCAATTAAAGAAGACAATACAATGTAAAAATGGGCTATAGATCGCCAACAACTGAAGGTAGATCACCATACTAGGGACCATGGGGACTTACAGTGCCTTTGCTACCTGCATGGACCCTATCTGGATTTACACCATCCCTTCAGCCATTGGCGGTTATACTGAGATTTAGCCATACATTAAAAACACAAAAATACTACGATTAAAAACCTGGTACACTTAAATTGACTAAATGTTTTGGGACTTACGTACCCTCTCAGGAGGACAATAATTTTACGCTACTTCAACCCCCCTTTGAGGGTACAGCCACTAACAATTTCAGTTACTAATTTAAATTACCAATAATAAAATATGTATCTATTTACAAATCAGTCAACAAATCTAATTCTTTTAAAAATGCAATAATTAAATGAGAACTTATATTACTAAAAAGATCCTTCATAGTTCGTGATTTGAAAAAGATATCCCTTTTTGATGGAATATTCAACACAGTCAAGCAAGACATGCTTGACCGTGATTCTTTCATCACAAGGGATACAAAACGGAGGATCCTCACCTTTTAACAGGTATTCATGAGTATATCTGGTGTGACCAATACGACATCGTCGTATGATGACCTCTTCAAATCTGGACTGACAACCCAAGTAGGTGTAACCGATAGTTGGTTTTATTGCATGTAATTTATTAATACCTGCTTGGGTGTCCCACTTCTTCTGCATCAGATCACGGATGTAAGTTCTAATGCAAGCCTTGTAATCAGAGTAAGGAATAAGAAGTGGTGTCACAGATTTGTTGAGTGCTGCCTTAGCAGCAATATCAGCCATCGTGTTCCCAGAAATGCCAACGTGGCTGGGTAACCAACAGAGGACGATGTCGTATTGGCCAGTTGCAAGATCATTATATAATTCTATAATTTCTATTAAAAGCGGATGTTTACAAGAAATATTTTTAATCGCCTGAAGGCAAGAAAGAGAGTCAGAAAATATTATATATTGTTTATATTTAGGGTGTCTATTTATATATTTAAGAGCTGTTAGTATTGCGTTTGCTTCTGCTGTGAAAATTGAACTGTCATTGGGTAATCTGGAAGATATTGTTTTGGACCCAATGACAGTGGCACAAGCAACCGCGCCACCATCCTTGGACCCATCTGTAAATAAGGATTTATATGTATTATATTTACTTTTAATTGATTATATTCTTGTTTATATTGCAATTCATTAGTTTCTGCTTTCTTAAACTTAGTCAGTGTGAGGTCGACCTGTGGCCTAACCAATTGCCAAGGAGGAGAAGAAAGAAGACGGGAAGGAGATATATTTTCCAGGTCAATGCCGGCAGCAGTAATGAATGGCTTAATCCTGAGCCCAAGAGGCGGAACAAGAGAAGATTTCTTGTTGTACAAGTCCTCATAAAGAGGATTAAAGATGCAGTGAAACGCAGGATTAGACTCGTTAGAATATAGCTTGGTAATATACTGTAATGATAATTTTATACGGCGTTGGGTAAGAGAAGGCTCATCTGCCTCGACGTAGAGACTGTCAACAGGAGATGTTCTGAAGGACCCAAGACAAAGTCTCAGACCTTGATGGTGGACTGAATCTAAGAGTTTTAAGTTGCTTTTTTACAGGCTCCACCATATACGATGGAGCCATAATCAAGCTTCGAGCGGACAAGTGATCTGTAAAGGTGTAGGAGCGTAGCTTGATCCCCTCCCACCTTGAATTAGACACGACTTTCAATAAATCGAGTGCCTTCAGGCATTTAGTTTTAGGGATTTAATATGCGGAAGAAAGGTTAAATGGGAGTCGAAAATCAGACCCAAGAATTTGGCCTCTTTGACAACCTTGATGGGAGTGCCATTTAAAACAGTTCTGGGTCTTTATGAGGCTTATATTTTCTACAGAAGTGTAGACAATTAGTTTTGATTTAGAAAATTTAAAGCCGTTTTCAAGACACCATTTATTTATTTTATTTAAACACAACTGCAGTTGCCGTTCAATAGTATGCATATTCTTACCGCGACAAGAAATGTTAAAATCATCCACAAAAAGTGATCCATCAATGGAATCGTTTAAAACCTTGGATAAACTGTTGATCTTAATGCTGAATAAAGTGACAGACAAAATACTGCCTTGTGGGACACCCTGATCCTGATTGTAATGGTCAGACAGGGTTGAACCCACTCGGACTTGAAATTGTCTGTCTTTTAAAACTGTGATATAAAAGGGGTAAACGACCCTTAAACCAAAAATCATGTAAATCCTTTAAAATGCCATGCTTCCAGGTGGTATCGTACGCTTTCTCGAGATCAAAGAATAGCGATACTGCATGTTGTTTATTGACTATTGCATTTTTGACAAAGGATTCTAATCGTACCAAATGATCAATGGTACTACGATTTTTCCTGAAACCACATTGAATATTTGTTATGAGATTATTGGTTTCAAGATACCATGTTAATCGATTATTTACTATTCGTTCCATGGTTTTACAGACAAAACTCGTTAAAGAGATTGGTCTGTAATTAGACGGATCAGTATGATCCCGGCCAGGCTTTGGTATAGGGACTACAATGGCATTACGCCACGAAGGTGGGAAATTCCCTGAAGTCCATATTGTGTCAAAAAATATTTAGAAGAGTTTCCAAACATGATTCCGGTAAATGCTTCAAGAGCTGATAGTGTATATTATCAGCTCCTGTTGCTGTGTCATGAGCTTGCTCAAGGGCAGTGTGGAGCTCATGTAATGAAAATAATTCATTATAGTCTTCGCCATTGTCCGAGTTAAAATTTATTCTCTTCTTCTCCTGTTGTTTCTGATATTGTTGAAATTCAGGGACGTAATTTGACGAAGAAGAGTGTTTGGCGAGTGTTTCACCAAGCTTATTGGCAATGTCAGACTTACCAGTTAATATATTGTCACCATCCTTCAGATGGTGAACAGTAGATTTGGAACCTTTGCCCTTAATTCTTTGGATCATGTTCCACACCTTTGAAATCGGTGTGCGTGAATTTATTTTAGAAACATATTTCCTCCAAGACTGACGCTTATTCTGTTTAAATGTACGTCGAGCCTTGGCATTGAAATTTTTTACTTTATTCAAATTATGGACAGTAGGATGTCGCCGAAAATATTTTTCAGCTTTCTTCCTGCTCTTTCTGGCCTGTTTACATTCATTATCAAACCATGGCTTGCGAATATGTGGAACTGCAGAGGACTTAGGTATAGTTTGGTCAGCAATGTCATTGAGTAAATCGGAAAACAACTGTATCGGATCTTCACTGTTCGCAAAAACATCATGTTTTAAGTGATCAGCACATAATGTCTCATAAAATGGCCAATCAGCCCTGGCGAAGTTTCGTCTCGATAAAGGTGGATCATCACCAGGACTGATTGTCTTGAGAATGGCAGGGAAGTGATCACTCCCACATAGATCATCATGTACCATCCATTCGAATTCATTATACAAGATGGAGTCAGCAAGTGATAGATCCAGGGAAGAATATGTTCCCGTAGCTGGATGTAAATAAGTGGCTGAGTCTTCATTAACAATACATAAATTATTATCGGAAATGAATTCCTCAAGGATTTTACCTTTAGTGTTGGTATGGACACCTCCCTAAAGTGGGTTGTGTCCGTTAAGATCGCCCATGATAACACATGGCTTAGGGAGTTGATCGTACAGATTTTGAAGATCTGTCTGACGGAGATTAGTAGAGGGAGGGATATATAAGCTGCACAATGTCAGGGCAACGTGCAGAGTCAGGCGAACAGCAACCGTTTGAAGATCCGTATTTAGAGTGACAGGGCTATGAATAACGCTGTGATGTATCAAAATAGAAGCGCCTCCAGTTGCTCGATCTCCCGGAGGAGAAAAAGAATGATAAGCATTATACTGTCTCAGATTAAAAGTATCTGTATTATTAAGATATGTCTCTTGGAGACAGAATGCTGACGGGTGATGATCTTGTATGAGTAATTGTATCTCGTTGAAGTTATGTTTAAGCCCTCTGCAGTTCCATTGAATTATATTGGCCAATTGACTCATGGTGGCTCAATTGGCGATCTTTCACGAGAATGTGAGGGGGGTAAGCCCCTCTGCTTATCCTGTGAATACAGGGTGACCTCCATGTCTAGAGGCCCAAAAGTGTTCTGTAAAGGAACCTCTAAAGGTAAAGGTACGACAGTTGTTTCTTTCCTAGTTAATTTTTTCCCTTTCTTCTTTTTCACTAGATCAGTGGCTGGCTGTGATGACACTATTTGCGAAGCAGTCATCTGTGATGACTCAGACTGAATTTCGGTCTGAGACTCAGACGTTGACATAGTTGATGAGGCAGTAGGTTTTTTAGGTGGGGAAGAAGGTTTGTTAGAAGAAAACACAGGTCTGTCTGACTTGACCCAGGTCAAGTCAGTCTAACATGCAGCTGAGGACATTGCTACAGAGCGTTTAACTGCAGCGGAATATGTGATGTTTGATGGAGTTGAAGATTGACTGGTGAAAAGGTTTTTGGCTTCAAAATAGGAAAGGTTTTGTTCACATTTTATTTTCATTATCTTAGATTCCCTTTGATATTCAGGGCATGACCTAGAAGAAGCAGGATGCGTCTCCTTACAGTTGACACACTTGGGATCATTCTCGCAGCCTGTGCCGTCATGGTGATCTCCACAGCGATAACATACTGCAGGATTACGGCATGAGTAAGTCCCATGACCAAACTGTTGACATTTATAACACCGGAGTGGATTGGGGACATACACATCCACCCCGATATTGAAATAGCCTGCTTTTATAGATGCTGGAAGTGAAGAGCGAGAAAAGGTCAAGAGATAAGTATTGGTTTTTGTAATAATGCCCTCTTTCTTAAAGGTGAACCTTTTCACTGCTGAAACGCCCTCATC